CAAAGGGAGATGAGAACCCTTGGGCTCTCCACTGAGTCAGAAAGGAATTGGCTGCTCTGTGTATTTGTGTATTTTTAAAAAGTGGTTGATTACTAAGAAAACTAGGGATAATTTCTCTGCTGCCTCCTTCCTCTGAGCACAGGGCATTTATCCCGCAGGCGATCAGTGAATTACAATGATAGCACCCCTGGACTCTTCTGTTTTTACAGAAGATGAATGTTGGGGATTAGAAGAATGGTGTAAAATGGGACCATACTTCCCACCCAGTGTAAACCCCTCCATCTGTAGTTTATTCACAATAGATGCTTGTGTCTGCTCAAAATCATCATCTAGAGAAGCCATCTATCCACCGTTTTCAACTTTTTGTCCCATAGACACTGTTTCACATCATCTTTATATACGTTTAAGACGTGCTCCTGAGAAACAAGGTGAAACATTGCTTCAAAGCATGCAACACCTGTGCCCCTTTCTCACTTTCCCAGCAAATCTTTCATTTTGTTTACATGTTCCATGTTACATACCAGCACCCCTCTTAAGATTCCTAAATTTCACTGTATATGTTTCAGGGGTAATCTAAAATTGTTTCAAAACCATTTCTTTGAATTTACAATAATCTAAACCATCATCAATTGGTATTTTATTGACTATACATGTAGGGATAAAGTGAGAAAGGCCAACACCCATGTAGAGTTGGACCTTGCAAAGGGAATTAAACCCAATAGTAAAAGGTTCTATAGCCATATAAATAAGAAGAAAACAAAGAAAGAAGAAGTGGGACCACTAAAGACTAAGGATGGAGTGGAGGTTAAGGATAATCTAGGCATGGCCCAATATCTAAACAAATACTTTGCCTCAGGATTTTAATGAGGCTAATGAGGAGCTTAGGGATAATGGCAGGATAACAAATAGGAACGAGGAGATGGAGGTAGATATTACCACATCCAAGGTAGAAGTCAAACTCGAACAGCTTAATGGGACTAAATAGGGGGGCCCAGATAATCTTCATCCAAGAACACTAAAGGAACTGGCACATGAAATTGCAAGCCCATTAGCAAGAATTTTTAATGAATCAGTAAACTCAGGGGTTGTACTGTATGACTGGAGAATTGCTAACATAGTTCCTATTTTTAAGAAAGGGGGAAAAAAGTGATCTGGGTCATTACAGGCCTGTCAGTTTGACGTCTGTAGTATGCAAGATCTTAGAAAAATTTTTGAAGGAGAAAGTAGTTAAGGACATTGAGGTCACTGATAATTGGGACAAAATACAACATGGTTTTACAAAAGGTAGATCATGCCATACCAACCTGATCTCCTTCTTTGAGAAGGTAACATTTTTTAGACAAAGGAAATGCAGTGGATCTAATTTACCTTGATTTCAGTAACACATTTGATACAGTTCCACATGGGGAATTATTAGTAAATTGGAAAAGATGGGGATCAGTATGAAAATTGAAAGGTGGATAAGGAACTGGTTAAAGGGGAGACTACAA